CTACGGTTCCAGCTCCGACGCCGACGGATCCCCCAGTTCCCGTCGCCGCTGCTGACACTGACGGTGCAGGGGCTGAATTCGCACCACCGTGTTCTACCTGAAACAAATTCCAATTACCAACGCTGTTCTGCAAACTTCTTTACCGACCTATCATTCTTACTTATTACTAGACTACGGATTCTTGTGCATTTATCTATGAAAACATCCATAGATGCAAAAGAATATAAAATACCAAGAGATATATAATATACACATTACACCCCCCATTTATAAGACAGGACAAACTTATCTATAAGCTTAAATTCTTCTTCTGTATCGACGAAAATATGAATTTGCATAAAAGGAAGAATGTTGGAAACTTTAGAGGGCTGGCCGATCGGTTTCTCTTTCCCCCATCCAGTCCCGTTCCGTCGCGGAAGCGAGATTCCACAGTTTTGCTCACCAAAATAAACCGAATCAAAGTTTGGCACGATCATTTGGTTTTACGTACCGTGTGCGCCTGCCCAACGAACCCTTGGGAATTATTTCGGTCCTCAGCCATCGTGCCGTCCCCTGAAACAGATACATAATTTAGCGTAATTGTAAATTCGCACAATGAAAGTAATTCTCGATCGATTCTGGAACCTGGACACTGGAATACGACCGTATACGCATCGTTTAGCAATACCTCGATGCACGCGTATATTCATAGTATTTACAGGGTCTTGTCGAGCCCGGCTACTTTCAGTCACGCTCGCTATACAAGGTGTTCCTTTAACGGGACCATTTTGATCTAGAATTTAATCTCAGTTTACTTTGACGATACGAGCCGAATATTTTTATGAGCAAACATATTCTGTCAGGGGTGTATTTTATAAAACCTCAAGGTCTACGATATTTCTTTAATAGAACGATATTATATGTATGTATAGTATATGTATGTATAGGGGTAACCCAACCTCAACATTATTATATAAACATAAACGGTTTGGATAAGATAACGTTATAAATAAATAACGTTAGAGATACAAGAAAAGTAAAGTGGTATTCTTAAAAGAAAAAGTTAAACGATTGTATAGATTTTTACTAATTTTATATGGCTCGGTAATTCTTATTAAGAAGAATCATATCGCCATCCCCCTTCCTTTCACCTTCCATCCTTCCAATCACGCTCCTCGTTTCTCGTTTCTCGAGTGCTACGAGTAAAAGATATAAATATAAGAATATATGTATAACGAAACACCCTGTATACTCTTATTAATACACATACGTACATACGTCGGACGGTTAAGCGAACCAATCTACTTTCTCTGAGACTCGACACACTTTCATGGTATTATCCACGGGTACAAGATTATATTGACAAAATTTCTTTTTCTTTCACAACCGCAGCCGCCTGCATCGCCGTACGAAAAGAAAAGAATCGTTTCTTTTTTATCGCAAGTTTCCCCTTTTATCGATTCCTTTTCTTCATCTCGTCTACCTCTATCCTAAATACATCCGATCGGCTTAAAAATTCCAACACGCGTCCTTGACATTCGATACACTAATTTCCTCAACACTCTATCGCGGTCTAATGTTCCAAGAACGCGTGCAGATTATATTTAACATGCGTTACGTACACTTTTGTACTGCGCGAAATCTGCAATCTGATCGTGCTAATAAAAAAATAATAATTAGTAACATCGTCTTATAGATGATAATCGACTAAACGCCGTCTAAAAATTAATTAAAAATGAATAATCATTACGATGCGTGGCTTTAGAAAGCACGAATAGTCAAAAACGTTTCAGTCTTATTGGAACGATCGACGGTAGATACGCGCTAACCCTGACGAAAGAACACGCATCGGAACGTGGAAAATTACGAGTGTTTCTTGTTCGCCTCCTCCCCCCCTCCCCCCTCCCCATCGGCCACGAACCTCTGACATCTTAAATAGATTTCCCGACTTCTATTCAAATAGAACACGAAGAATTGCACCAACGTGCGCGGTGTATCGCGAATAATTCCGTTTTCATGATAATCGAACGCCATCGATGTATCGCATTGCGCTCATCTTTGTCAGTTTCGCTTTACCGACTGTATCTATCCTGGGATAACTTCTGTAAACTGTGATTTCTGGGGTCACTCGAATATCCCCTTGAACTTAATCCGAGTCAGATTATAAAACAGTCTTCGTTGAACCTCGCCCTTTCCCCTTACTTCGTACTACTCCTCGTATTTACATTTTCTCTCTTGGCTCGATATAAAAGAACGTTATATCTTGGTTCGTCCTAAAATGAAATTAATTACGTAGTTACGTAAACGCGGAACGAAAGAAATTTTAGAATGAAGCGAGAAAATTTGGTACGTTCTAACTTGATACCGGAAAAGTTCTGCAACAACCCGCCTTTTTTATTTTTTCTTCACCTTGTTTCACCTGCCCCCGTGACGTTCGACAACTCGAAACAGAAACGAACACGTCCGTTTTCACGGTTACCACGGCTTATCGAGAAGGATCACGTTTCGCGCGCGCAATAGAGACTTTTCAAACATCTAAATATAAGTCGACTATTCGTATTGCGACTACCGAAATACCTGACTCTGCCCTTTTCCGTTTTCACCGTTGTTCGTCGAGACGAGATCGGACGAATCTCGACTCGTTCTCGATTCCGCTATCTACCGTTGTAACAATAATATTCTTTAATCATTTTGCTCGTCTTTTTTATATTTCCAAGCAAAATTGATTCCATGCAGCATCGATCTATTCGTTCTAAAAATAAAACACATGATAGCTGATTCGTATTATCGACATACGGGCTCGATCGTCCATTAACAACCAAGTCTGCGATTTTTGTGATAACTGTACGACGAGGAAGTAACGAATGTGCTGCTTTGTATTCTCTGCTACAGACGTTGAGGATGTTTTCTTTTTTTTAGAAATTAGAATGAAACTCGGTTAAGTCAAGTGAATGAGATTAGAACCTGAGATTACTACAAAAATTAGTCCATTTAATACCAAATAAAGCAAAACAAGTTTCGAAAGCAAAGGGTTCCTAAATAAGTATCGATACATTTGACCACTGCATCAGACACTGTCAATCGATGCTTCGATCTTGTAACGGTTCTTTAGAATGCTTAGAACGAATCCAAGTCGACTTCTAAACTCCTAACACGGAACACTGCCACCATGGTCAATGTGTAATAGTAATACATCTCGAGTGTTTATACAAGGTCTCCTATAGATTATAGTACAAGTTGGAAAGAAATTGTTTGGTGATTGTTTGATCGGTATGTTGTAGACCGGTTAAACACATACACTGGACTAATTACAACTCTCTGGCACACACCCATCAGGCTGAAATGAAATCCTGAACATTGAAAAAGTAGTACTTAAATATTCCATTATCTGAAATGTATTCAGTGTTTGAATACCCATAAAATGCCAATATTCCATTATCCATAATAGTAATATTCCGAGTTGATTTATCGAATGTGAATTCCTGTAAATTATTCAAATAGACCAGGCCTGGTTGCGTACGCAGAAAAATCAGGACTGCACCTAAATCAGGTACAGTATACACACCTTTAGTAGGAAGTGTCGCGCATCGAGTGCTAGCAGCGCCTCCGTGATTACTTTGTCGTCTTCCGTGATGCAGCGATAAATTAACTTGTCCTATGAAATTGCACTCGTTTCTTTGTTTTTCTTCTCTTTAATAGAAAGTTCATCCACGCCAGGTGTACGCGGATGAACCGAAAAACGAGGCGTTTTTTAACGCGTTCGTGGTATAGTACTCTCGCCGTAAACAATTTTTCGGCGGCCTACGAGCCTCTTCTTCGATGGCATAGTCCTCTTTGCCTGAACGACCGATCAGCCAAATCACTGTTTAATTAAATACCTTCCACGGCAGGCACACGAATCGCAAACGGAACATTTGGCATTCAAGACACCACTAGGAACCTAAACGATACACTGCACGTATTTCGATCACTCTGGCACCATCGATTACGGTGACTTTTTCTCTCGACTTAGGTTCGAAGAAGAAATAGCAGCCGACCGTCCTCCACGAGCGCGACACACGTCAATTCAATCGACGCCTCGCATACTTCACAGTTCACCTGTACGACAAAGGTTAGCTTACGAAAGCGGCGTCGACCATTTCCGCTTGCTGTTTCCGCTAGCTTTGCGAGAAAGGGAACATACGCTGGATCGTTTCAACGTTTTCCAGACGCGACATCGATACGACACCGAAAGTGGCACTTAACGTACACGACACGATACGATACGACACGGTATGGGCACGGTAACATGGCGGCTCGATAGAGTCGAGCATACAGAGACGACAACCGACTCTATATAGACCGATGGCCAATGGAAGTCGATCAACAAGAACTCTCGATGTTTGTTACGATACTCCTCCACGATTTTTCGTTATTTCAAATTCGATCCGTTGGCACGGAAATGTCAAGAAACGCTATGCTAGCGCCCGCCATTATTCCAGACCGTCTTCCTTTTCTTTTCACCTCTTCTTTCCTCTCCAGCCGCCAACTCTTCTTCCCCACACTTCAAACCTCTCCAGACTATCCTTTCCGCCCCGCCAATCATCTCGCTTCTCTTTTTCTCGCAAACTCTTCATCTCTCTTTCTCTCTTTTCTCACCTTTCCGACTATCCCCATCTGTGTGCCACGGTACACGCAAGCGACGTCTATCCACGAACGTATCGACGGCCCGTATATCGACTCTCGATAACGTTACCTTCACCAACGACACTGTTTTATCACTTTGTGCCGGTTCGAATCTTATCTATTATATACTTGTGTTACTGTTACTTTACTCCCACAAATAATTTGCCACATTCAACGTGTAAAACTCGTTAAACTCGAAATCAATAGAAGCAATTTAATTTAAAAAGTAACCATCTAACGGTAAGAGTCTGTATTTTTCAATTTGATTCGAAATTACCAAGTCGCGATTCGTGTAAGCATCTTTCGGTATCGGACGCACCGCCATCCAAGGAAAATGAAAAGTGCTCGAATTCAATTCTCTTGTTTCATTGATAAATTACAAAGGAAGTAATTTAATTTGTACAATACGATAGAAAAGCCAGGCGATAAAATAAATGTTCATTTCAATCTGCAACGGTTCCAGAGACAAGCGTATCCAAAGATATGAAATACGAGATATATGACGACCATGAGCACCATATCCATCCAAAAGTTAACTTGGTCGAAGTCGTAACGTTGCAACACTCCCGATCCATCTGTGATGCAGGGCAATTGAGGATCGATCCCTTCGCAAGCTGTCATCAAGAGAAAGAATATATTATTATCTCTTTTTACACCTTTAAGATTAGCTAATCCACTCAGTAGAATTTCGATTTCCCAATGTCTTGCGTTCCTCTTTTATCTACTATCGGTAAAAAGTGACAAAGACACATGTTCGTAAAAAATTTGACACTGGCTTTACCGAATATCTAAAGCAGTACCGTACTTGGAAATTGCAAGGCCCTGTTTAGAATAATTTTATCCGTCCCTAGATTACTTCCACTTACATATATTGCGTATTCCGTTCCATTGAAGAATGCTAAGTGCTTCGCTCGAGTGTAGTAGCCAAGAAAGATATTTCACCCATCGAATGTACACTGGTAACGATCTTAAATTACAGAAAATATCGAGCATACGTTACGAATATTTTCCTTTCGAAATCAAAATCGCGATAAAATATATACCCAAGTTTGAGAAAGGGCCCCATAGTGATCATGAGAACGTAATCGAAGGGTACCAAGTACGCCATCGCCAATGGTACGCTTTCGAACGCCGTTGAGAAAAAACATCCTGAAAAGAATACGAGTTAATAATCGTTTTTATTCTCTTCCCTTTTTTTCATCAATTTTGGACGCTCCAGATTAAAAGTATGTTCGATTCTCGTTATTATCGGTTCCATTCGGAATCGCCACCGCCCACTAAGCCGCTCTATTAGCGGGTGAGCTCTCATGTGTAGCGATCGTCATGTGTAGGAACGAACAAATTTAAGTTTACAGAGTAGCTTAGTAAGCAGTGGGTTGTAGCAATACTTGGTAGCAATAGGGTTATAATTTAAAGGGAATGTACCGCAGGCAGTAGACACGTTAATCGTAAGCAGAAGGACGAGTAACGTCAACCCAAATGCCTCTGCGCTATTCCTTAATCCAGCCAACCAGTATATTATCGTCGCGAACAATAGTGGCTCCACTATCAATCCTGGTACCTGAAATTCGAAAAGTTGTTGAAATTCTTGAAAGTCTCTTCGAACAATAATCTATCTGCGATAGACACTTGCCAAAGAAAGCATTCGTGCGACGTAGTAGACATGAATCGGATACATTCCAGCTCGATACTCTCTTCGAAGAAGTGGCAGCTCCTGCGGTATCAAGGCTAGCGTAGCGTACATCGGGAAGAATGCATTCTCGGATACCAAAATGAAAATTACGCCTTGCGTAGCTTGAATTCCGAGTTGATCCATGTTGACGGAACCCACGAAGCACAGGCCAGCGATTAGAGCCACGCTCTGGCAAATTTTCAATTTTCAAATATAACCTATAACCTATCGATAAGCCTCTCGTCGTCAAGGCTTATCGATATCGACCGATTGTCTACTAATCGTCTTTTTTCTTCGACATTTATGAATCTTCTATTATGCTTTTATGATAACAAATACTTTGTTTAAATATGGTATCAGATTCAATTACGAATTATAAGTATACGCACGAGACAGTGTTTACCATGTTTTCAATTATCACCAGTCGGTAAAGTGTTGAGAACACGTGTATGAATTGTTCTTTCTTTCTTTTTTTTTGTTTGTTTGTAATGAAAATGTTTGTATATGTAATTTGACATAATCTGACTTGTTTCAATTCTATTCGAGAGCATTTCCTACAGTTTCTCGATATATATCACATCTACCATCGTGTTCCGAGACGATTTACCTTCGGAAGATATGGAGAAAACAATGCTAACGGCATCCGATCGACATATGTTGTTGGCACTAGAAAAAACGTCGCCTGCGCCATCTCATTTCAGTCGTGTACTCGCATGTTTTATAGTTAGCTCATCGACGGCGCTGCTTATCATCATCTCAGAACGGTATGGTATTTGTATTTGATGTATTCGTTGTTCAACATGCGGGGACTTACTACTTTTTGAAGTATTCTAACGATCTGCACCGATGGATCCCTCAGAACTTGCAGAAAGTCTCGGTAAACCAGCCAGTAAAGTCGCGAAAAGTATCGCGATCCTTTCTGCCTGCGTACAGGAACGAAAAGCAAAGATGTAAAGTGGTTGAAGAAAGAAAACCATCATGGATATTTGGTAGATACTCACGCGATTGATTCAGAGTCGAGAAGCAACATCGCAGGCGACTAAAAGAAGATCGGTTAACGTGAGTACTTTTATCCGATGAAACGTTTAGGTAAAAAAGGGTTAATCAATCATCTTTACGCCGAGTTTCGTTCCAAGGACGCATACAAAGAAAGTCGTTCGACTGTTGTAAATGCCCAAGGTCCACTTTATATTATGTTCTGTATATTATTCGTGTTCGAAAGCACGCTCATACGAAACAGTATGTTTGCTAGATCGAAAGAGTTTCTTACGTTGGAAGAGTGGCCCAACTCAAGTTCCTTCATCAAAATATAATCGATTTCATTGGAAGCCTCGCTAGTCAAAAATACGTCGCAGACTTTGCGCGTCACTTCCTCCCCGCCATTTTCATCCCTCGATCCAGTGGCCACGATCGCTATCAGGTAATCGGCTGGATTGTAATTCCGCGGACACTCGTATCCCTGACTGAACAATCAATTGGACGAGAAACTACATGTAGCGAGCGTCTATTATTGTCATTTCTACCAAAACAATTGAACAGTATTTATCTCACGAACGTTATTAGTTTTCCGTTCTCCATGTACCTTGCAAAAAATTGGACCGCCCATTCGGTACGACCCGCGAACGCTACTCGACCATCCGCGATTAAGATTATTCGATCGAACGAGTCGAATATAGCGGAGCTCGGTTGATGTATAGTACACAACACTGTTCGTCCTTGACCAGCGAATGTTTTCAACTGCGAAACCAAGGAATTCGCCGAATGAGAGTCTTGGCCAGTCGTTGGTTCGTCCAAGAACAATATTTTCGGATCGATCAGCAACTGGAAACATTGAGATAATTCTTGAGAAAAGGTATATAAATACAGAGAAATTTCGTATTTTTAATTGTATCGTACTTCTGTAGCAAAGGCCAATCTCTTCTTTTCACCTCCAGATAACACTTTGTCGTCGAAGCCGTTGCCGATTCGCACGTCGCGTCTGCTCGCCAAGCCAACGTTTCGCAACAACCCATCGATTTTCTCACGGATATCCGCTATTCGTGTCCTCTTGTCGAGCTTCATTCGTGCCTGCAACAACGTTCCAGCAAAACGAGAAGAAACTGCATCTATTTCTATCATTTGCGTTTGTCTTTTTAACGGATTACGTACCATGAACCAAAGGTGTTCGATCACTGTCATTGTCTCGACGAATAGATCGTCTTGGTGCATGTAGCCACTGTTTACCATCATGTACGACGAATCCACTGGAACACCGTTTGCTCGTATCTCGCCGTGAACCAAAAGTTCGGCTGGAACGAGTCGACAACGCGTTACAGGCTGTTCTTTAAATATTAGCTTGTTATTGTACGTGACTGAATCGTCCACAATTGATTGTTGCTCGATTACTGTTACAACATCAACTGCTTGCAAGAAATAAGGCTGTCTGTTTATAAATATAAACATTGCCACATAAAATAACTGAGTGCAAGTCGATAAATTAGAATTAGACGAACGATAAAGAGAGGTAAAGATACTTACGTCCAGTACGAAAAGCTAGCGCCGTCATCAGCGAACTTTTACCAGCTCCGCTGGATTAACATAAATCATATTTATCATTTCCAGCAACGAGGTTCAACGAAATTTAACGTAAACGAAGATCAGTGGCGACTTGGAGTCGCCTCCTGACTGCAAATGGTTAAACCTCGCGCGTAAAGTGTAACAAGTATGTTACCTCGCACCGATGATCGCCGTTAGGTCGCCAGGTCTTGCTGCACCCCGCACTGAAATGGATCATCGACCGCAGTGTTATCGACCATCTGTTCGATCGAATATCCGAGATCGTTTCATCCGACTTGAAAAATTGACACTTTTCTCTTTAAAAAAAAAAAATACTCGTCGCTACTGTATCGAATACTTTGAACATCAATTTTTCGACTCGGAATACCAACGACCAAGGCCTCCGTAAAAAGTCAAATCACACACCGTTGTCGACCAATTGTTTGCACACGTTTCTCCTTCCAGGATCCATCGCGTATACCGAGAGATCACACCAGGAAAGCGTCACGCCTCCCGACCTGGTTGCATCCGTTTCCCTCGGGTTCTCGTAATTGTTCCGCGACCAACGCGTTTCCTCGAAAATGTTCATCGCGAGACCGAGTTCTATTCGTCTGTTTCGATTGCTTCTCGAGTTTGAAATTTCACCATTAATCCCCTGCTGTTCTACGTCGAGAGAGACCCGACAGAACTCTACCAAAGTCGGAAAATCTGCAAAGAATTAATCTATCCTTTCGCGCTCGGATGTCCCCTCTGAGGGGACATCGTACGTCTAGGAAAGTTTGTTAGCGATTACGACCAGCACAGCGACCGAGCGACCGAACCGATAGAACCGAGACCGAGTCGCACCGCATACGATATCGCCACTGAATTCAGCTCGCGGTGGCTCTTGTCTTGCAGCTCTCGCGTATCCTTCCCCTTGTTCCTTCTAGGACTAGTACTACACCGGTGTTCAACGATATGCTTACCCTTGATGCACGCATTCCTTTTTCTTTGTACGATTTCATGTTTACTCTATGCGTTTCCAACATTACGTAACTCGTAACCATCAAGAGAAAAGACAAATTTATAGAATATTTATAAGTACATGTATGTACATGCATACATACACTCACGCGTGTACATACATGGGCACGATTATATTATTCAATAAAACGAGAACTTGTCATGTTCTCGTACATTATGGGCGGCAATGTATTAAATTCGTTTACTTCGTTTTCTCCTCCAGGTTGTTTTTTGCTTCAAGATTAATATTTTCTTTTCAGAATTTTAATACGGTAAAGACGTACTATTGTTATTATTATTGTTATTGCGAGCATTAATGAAACTGTTGTCTGAAAGTAACGAAGCGAGCATGTTAAATTCGTTTACGAGCAAGTCAATTAAAACGTTAAGCCACTTTCCATTATGACGAGTATTATTCCACGAGCGACTGTTTAAAAATTGAAAGACGAGGGGAGGAAACGGGGCCAGATTAGACGTATTATAGTAATCGAAGAAGGAAACCGTATATGCGCCTCGCATAAGGATTATGCGTCGTAGGAATTCTTTACTACGTGTCTTGTTCTTTTTTATGTTCTTCTTAAGTACCGATATCTCTGTCAAGCTTCTCGTTCTCTCAAATCGCACGAACCAAGGAAATCTCTTCGTTTCTAGAATCGATAAATAGTCGAAGAAATTAATTAGTTTAGGAATTAGTTTATTCTATAGCAATTTTATTTGCCAAGAAGAGTATAAAAAATAAAATCGTTTCTCATGGATTTTCATATTCCGCCATATTGTTTCTCGAGTATTCAACTTTAATATCCTTCGTAGCGCATATACTCATATACTCTTCTTTCAAGTAGTAGTGTCGGATGACACTTGCCAGGCGATACTCTTATCAGCCGATCTCATCTCTGCCACTCACTTTTCCAGGCTCTATCTCGGTACTCTTGTCACCCCACTATAGGCTCATGTAACTTACAAGTCATATACTAACGTCTGAACATTTGATAATAATTCAATCTTTACCACGCAGCGGCATGTAGAACATCTTGTTATATTTTTGTACAATCTCTTAGAATCTCTAATTCGAATACCTCTAATTTCTATTTTCAGATATGTGTACTACGCATAAGTACGACTGGGATTTCTTTCTCTTTTCAATAGTCGCTCGCACGGTATGAGTGACAACCGGTTTGTCAAAGATATCGGCCTCCACGCTTGGAAGGGTGTCCACCGACGGTGTCTGTTGCTCGCCATCCGCAACAGACTCGTAACCCGCAACAGTGTAACAGGAAATACCGAGACATCCAGTCGTGTTCGAGTTGCGTTTTACCTCGGCTGCTCGTTAACCTTTTCTCGTGATTTTTTTCAATCCCTTTCTTTCTCCTTGCGGTAAAGGCGTGTCGCCTTTGAGCAACGGTTGGATGGCTAGGGAGAGGGGGCAACGACGTCCAGGAAGCGAGAACACGTGTACTCTCGTAGAAGAGAGTACTTTAAAAGAAAGTAGCTACGTAGACATAAGCATGGTTATTAAATTAGATTGGAGTTTCGAGAACACGAGCTTGATCGTTCCATTATAAATGTTTTCACTGTATGCATAGAGAAACAATTATTACTTCTTATATATTCTATTATATTTCTTATGTTGGAACAACTTCGTGTTGAAATAGGTACAGGAATAGGATCTTGATACTACGATACAAATACATGCGATACAATTCACAAAACATTTTTAATTGCTTAAAAACAGATTGTACAATTAGGAGGATGTAAACATTGATCGTTGATGTATTAGACGCGGTGCGTAGGTACAAAGATCAAAGAAACGACACGCTGTTCCTTACACAGGATCTGAATTGAAAATTTGTTGTTTCAAGTTACTACCCTGGTGGTTGTGCGCAGCCACCGATACGGCGACAGTGCTAGAGTTGCACTGGCACTACTGGCGGTAGTACATTAGCATTAGAACCTCGATTACAACACGAGAGATTCGTTCGCTCGAATGTACCGACAAGTAAAATCGAAGAAGGATAAGTAACTAGTAACGACCATACGTAGCAGAGATATACCGTGTAACTGGGCTTCCGTCTGATAGTTGCTTTGATCGTCGAACAAACTTGAATCGCTAAAAAAATGGCCAGTCCTTATCTGTACTAATCGAGATTCCAATGCGTAGGTGGAAGCATGAGTTTCACTGTCCCAGGGAATACCATCATCAGCCACCTGACTAGTAATCGTGTTTCTATCTACTTTGTGAATAGTCTTCACTCTTTGAACACCAACACGAATCAATGAAAAAAAAAATACTAGTCAGATATTTATCAATGCCCTCTTGTTTGTCCCTATGATGTTCCTTGAGATACTCCACCTATCTAGGCGGAGATCTTTCAAGCTTCCGTCTTTACACATTTCGATTTCACTTTCTTCTTATCTCTGTTTTATGTTCGCTGATTGCGTCGAGTTTTCGAGAGCAGCGCAAGGAACGCCAGGAAACGAAACGCGGCGATCAAGGAGAAGAGGCATACGATATCCGTCCAGAAGTGCTCCTAAAACCAAAAACAAAGCACATGCTTATAATATAGATATAGAAGACAACAATTAATGTATGCAAGTAGAAATAAGTATTTAGTCGATACCGAAGCAACGAGACCGTATACCTCTTTAAAATTGAATATTTGCAGAACCATTCGTCCAGATTTTGGACACGTTGCGTTACTTCTGGTACACTCTATAACATCCACTCCGGACCATTGATTGATGAGAAGAGCTTCGTTGCCGTAGCGAAACCAGGACAGGTAGGAGAACCATTCGAAGTAGAATGGAATGGATCTACGACATTTAACGGATGCAATTTTTATGTTTATATAGAAACGTCATGGAATCGAGTAAATGCGTATCGTATAAAGGGTGTATCACATAGTATTACATAGTACATAGTTTTATATCGATATAATCTGCTTTTAACGTTCAACATTTTGAGTTGTAGGCCTTACGCAGTGTTCAAGAAGAATCCACCAAACAGCAAAAATGGTATGATCACCGGTGGTCCGATGGACAACGCCATGGACAAGCTGTCGCTGATGCAGGATATCAAGTAACCTAGAAGTAGTCAAGTAATCTTATCGTAAAACTTGTATTAATTCTCGAAATGAATGAATTTTTAGACAACCTGTAGAGTCGACCTGTATTACCAACATCGAGCTTACCAAAGGACGTAGAAACGTTTGCGACTAAAGCAACGATACCGGCTGTGACGAAGAAATGATCGACCCCTGAATGTAGCCCAATCATTGGATACGCGATAATGGTGAAGAGCAGCGGCACGGCTACAAAGACAGGCGCTTCCGCCAGCGTCTTGCACAGGAAGTATACATCTGTACGATACATGCCGTTTCTGTGCTCCCGTAGGAATATCGGTAACTCGGCACAGAAAACCTACGTTTAAAAATTTACCAATTATTCTAATAGGATTTTAGATTAATAACATTAATAGGATTTTAACGCTAAACCTACCACCCAATTTAATTCCATCGAAAATATCTTTACATTTTATTGAAAAAAAAAGTGTCTTTAAGACTCATTTGTTCCATCACAGTAGAAATTGTAATGCGTGAATGTTGGTAGGTTTAGTGTTAACAGGAGTATTCTTACATTTATAACGGCGAAAACGTTCTGAAACGTCATGTTCGTAAGGAATATAAACAAAGCACCATTAATGTTCATTACTCCGTCCTGGTCGAGTCGTTGATCGTAATAGACGACTCCAATCAACAGCGACACCATCTGCGACAAGATAAATTCGCATAGAGATTACTTTTATTCTTGATAAAGTAATTCCAAGATAAATGAAAGCGAATGAAATTCTCGACTTTTTAGTCGAGAGCATGACCTACGACAGTCTGTAATAGGCGAATTTTAATGAGGATCGGCTCCTTGATAACCGACATCCACGAGCGCCAGAAGACCGCGCGGAATTGCTCGCACCAGCTTGCTTTGTACGGCGAACGATTCTCGGAATGTTTCGTGTCGCGCAGAGAGTCTTCGAATTCACCGTTTATCGCTTCCGCCTCCAACGCAATTTTGATGCCTTGATCGCTCCTTTGAAACGCGTCGCAGACAGTGTTTACCGCGTGACGGCAGGACACCTCTCTGCCTGGCACGACCGCCAACATCTGAACGAAGTAATCTGCAGGATTGTAATTACTGGGACACGCAGCGCCTAATCTGAAACGTTTCGTTTGGTTTTATTGAAACGATGAAAAAAATATGAATCGTCAAGATTTATCAACGTTAGATTTCTTCTATTTATCTACTGACGTTTCAAAGAAAGTGCAAGCCTGCGAAGCTGTACCCATGAAGGCCACCCTTCCCTCGGCCATCAGCAAAATCCTGTCGAAAAGGGCGAATAGCTCCGAAGAGGGTTGGTGCAACGTGGCGACGATCGTCTTGCCGCGCGCTAATACATCAATGAACGATGGATTTATTTCTTGCGATTTTTAATGTACGAGGAGAAGAGACGTACCAGCCAGAGCCTTCAAAACGGATACCACTTGATGCGCCATAAAGGAGTCCAGCCCTGATGTCGGCTCGTCGCAGAACATCAATGGCGGATCGGTGAGAACTTCGGACGCAAACGATAGCCTTTTCATCTCGCCGCCAGACAGTCCTTTGATTCGTCCTGGTTGACCTATCACGGTATTCCTACATTTTAGTAAAGCAAGCTGCAAGAAAAATCACGGTACAAGGCAACGGAAACAAGAAAATCAACGTGTATGAACGGGCGAATGCATTACAAACACATGGCTGATGAGAATAAATCTTACCTCATTGATGACTTCATTTACTCGACGGATCCTCTGTGCCATAGGTATTCGTCGGTCCATGCGTACCATAGCCTGAAAGAGAAGATGCTCCTTAACGGTCAAAGTGCCGAGAAATAGATCGTCTTGCTGGACGTAAGCGGTTCTGGATGTCAGTATCGTGGAAGAGACTCGTTGACCATTGGCTGCCATTAGTCCGGATACGGTTACCCCGGTGCCCGAGCGAAACGTTAACGCGTTCAGTAACGTTGTTTTTCCCGCGCCTGAGGATCCCATGATCACCAGCAACTCGCCTGGATACGCTACGCCGCAGACTGCAACAAGACTTCGATGTAACTTTAATGTAATCTACATGTATTCGTATGAGCGTATACACAGCTTTGAAAATATTAATGGTATTAAATGGTATCGGGTACCAGTTGTCGAAGAAATAGGAATACACAACAGAGTTAGGAATATCGATGGAAATACGGATATTGTTACCAATATCAACAACGACATCGATACATCGAAATATTAATGGAGATGTAAATACTAATATTAGTGCTAACGCTAATATCGATATACACTTAATTCGACAACTTTCTTGCTATAATTTCCTCGAATTGAGCAAACCTTAATTTCATACCATCTTTCAACAGATGCTTCCTTTCGATTAGCTTCCTTCTGTTAACGAACACTCGATCCAACAGTCTATCACTTTTTCTAGAGACGTACACGTTTAGATCGCTCCACGTATACGTAATCGACTCGCTGGTTACATTTCCAACAGAACGCGCTGAAACTGAGTTCGCATTCGCGTTCGAAGAACGCAAGATCGGTTTTACTCCAAACGACGTTTCGGAACTGGTCCCACGTGATGCTTCGTCCCTGCCAACTCCTTCCTGCGATCAACAGAGTACGAGGAAAATACAAGAAACATTCTTGGAAAAACATTACATTTAAAACTGTGAGACCTCCAAGGCCACCAGTAAATGTAAACAAAAGGTTCCCTGCAAACGTTCGTATCGCTTCGGATTATTTGATCTCTCCATCGTTACGCAGCCGTAACATAACTTACGTTTACATAATTCGACGGGTTTTCAACAAAGCGTGACTCGAGACACCATTGAAAAATTTTAGTTTCAGCATCGTCTATATTCAATAACAGCAAACAAAGTAAGAAGACGAAAAAAAGTGGAAGCCACACATTTGAACGACAACCCTCGACCATGAATTTAACGAAGCCAAACGTTCACCCTACGTGGGATATCGAATAGTGTTTCGCGCGCCTCTATCAAGTTACACCATGATGCAGGGATCGGTATGGAATATTCGCCACGATTGATACGAAAATACCATAAGAAAATACCATATTCCTTACCAACGAGATCGCATCATAGGAGGTTATGTGTGGTTTCTGTCCGCAGGTGGTCGACCCTTTCGTGGAAATTAGCGGTTCGGTTTCCTCCGTGGCCGTCATTCTTTTCTCTATTTTCACCAAACTGTACCGATCACCGTTGCGCGCAATATTTCTTGGGATCGTTCCACGGAACCATGTAGCTCGGTGATGTACGAACGAAAGAAATCAACGGATCCGCGGAGACATCCTCTGCGTGTCGTTTACAACCGAATCGCGTCCAATCCACGGGTAAACGATTCGCAAAGGCAATAAAAGGATTCCCTGTGAAAGATAATCGTCACTCTCAATCGCGATAGTAAATTCCAAGCGTTACTTTTCGCTCTTTTATAGGGTAACATTTATATATAAATTTTATATAAAAATACTAGTTGATGGTGTATTGAAAAACAGTCATCGCAGTACGCCCTTTCACCTCGCCTCGGTATAATACTCTCTTATATACATTATATACATACATACATTCTATTTTGTATGTTTTATTACTGGGAATGAATTCGATAAATGCATCGAAAAACAAAGTAAGGGTTCGGTTGATTTTTATAAAAATAGTCTCGCATCTGAACTTTCATCGAGAAGATTCTTCGTCACTGGTGGTTCGCAATTTAATTATTTTTTTATACAACTGTTCCAATTCGAAGGATCACGTATAACATTTAATAACGATTTATAATACATGCGTGTTACAGATTTATTTTCTAACATAAAAATGGTGCGAGTGTCGGAGCTATATTCGCTTACCTTAACGATACCAGCAGGGCGAGACGACCTTCCCAATGTTTTGATGGATGGACCTGCAGATTCGTCGCGGTTACACTTGACGCTCCCGTATAGTTTCGTGGAATCTTCGAAAAGGACGAGTTTGGAAAGGATTGGATACGACGCGTCTTACTTGGAACATGACAACGAGGTAGAGCTTACGTGCGACTTAGCCGCAAAACATGTACATAACATTCTCGGATTGCCTGTTCTCCCACCTACCGTTTTCCGTCCCTCGCCACTGTTCGTTGTTCCTCCGGTTCGCGTCGACTTATGTAACGCGACTCCACTGATCCACGAGCTTACCAACAACGCGGCCAATAACGAAGTAAAAGAATCTACAGGACGGCCTTGCGTGCATAATCATGTCCGTGATAGCCATCCTCTGCCATCCCCGTTGCTCTCGATTCCCGCATTGTACCGTTGCATTAGAAATCATTGGCGTCGTTGGTATTTATTTTCGTTGTCTCTCTCAACTTTCCGATGACCACGTGGGGCGAGCGAACCCCAAACGGTTTGGGAGGATTCGATTACGCGTGGTGGAGTAAATACAGCATTACGAGCTGTTTTCTTCCAAAACATCCAAGTAGCTATCGACAAACAAGACCAACTATTCGACAGCAAACAATTGTTTCGAGCTGTGTATCCATCCTCGTTTACTGCTTACTTTGCTTTGTTTTACGTAACCCTATAAAAAGACCTAATGCCATCCAGTCTGGCGAACCGTCAGCGTCGCGTCCATTCCATAGGGCAAAACTAATTGTCGGTCTCCAGCAACCGATAACTACATTTCCCAAATTTCATTACATATATCAATTCGTACTTGTTATTGGAGCCCTTTAGCAACAGGCAACCCGACGTACGCGTATGTCGGTACCTCGCCTGCGATGGCGTAATCAAATATTATGCAAACTAAAATACTTGAGACCTGCATGAAGGATTTAAAAAAAAAAATCAATCGTCACCTTCGTCTATATAGCGTACGTCAAGGTCGAGATCATCGATGACCAATGACGTAAATAATTAACAAACAATTATCATTATTATCACAGGATTTTGTGGAAAATTAGTTTGGAACAGTCCAGCAAAGGCGAGATCTCGTTTGATCATCGATGAAATGTATACATACAGGTTCTGCTTTTGAAAAAAAGGGGGGAGGGCGAAGGTGGCGCCTCCTACATTCAACAACTCAACGACTCTATAATGTAGCGAACGTAACAGTGATAAGAAACGTTATAAATATTGCACAGCAGTATTTCCGCAACTTTAAATACCCCCGCATAGGAGAAGGAATGAATGCAATGAAAATGATGATGAAGAATAACTTCGTTTATTATTATCGATACAGTAGTCTTTTGAGGTTCTGAAATTCTCAGGGTTCTCTCATGTTTTTTTTTATTTTTTTTTTTTTTATTCTCAGCCTTCGAACATTCCTGATTCCAGTCGAATGGTTTTAGGAGTGTTGCTATATCGGCACAGCTTAGGACACTGCGAGCAGACGGTGTGCCCTGAAACGTTTCTAGCAAACAAATAGCCGCGTGCATTCTTTTCAAGAATCCGCAATGTCGACCAATGATATGTACCGTATACGTATTCTGCTTCCATTTTCTATCGCCGTCAAAAATAACGAAGAGCACGCGGGAGGCGGAGAGGGGAGTGTGAAGCGAGTGTTTGCGATTAATCGTGCCCGTACATGTGTTCTTACCACACGACAACGGAAAAGGCAACTGCTGTTAGTGACCGATAACGACGGATCACCATCGCGAATCAGTCTTTTTCTTGTTTCTCTTCTCTGCGCCGAATATTCTCCACGGCCAAAAATCCCCTTCGTCGAATTCTTGTTTAGTTCGTTCAAACATGACGACGTAACGACGCGTATTCGTTCAGCGCGTTAATCGAATTCGTTCCTATCTTATTCTGCCCGCCATCTTTCGCTCCTCTATCCCGACTTTCTTGCTGTCACTTGTACTCGATTCGATCGTATCTCATTCATGTCGTTTTGTTGTTTTTCGACATGTTATGGGAGGCCCAGTTTAATGAGGTTTTCCACGAATTACAGAGGGCTTCGTCGAATTTGCTCCTAAAATGCTTCTGCGCCTCACTCTCGGACATTTCCAGTACCTAAGATCAAAATATTCTATGTAACAATGTTGTCGATCTTTGTGTCTCGTAATTATTAAGAAATTTCTATCGAAAAACCGATAATAAGTAACATACCAAAGTGTCCCTCAAATAGTTAAGATCTTTTTCGGACGATAACTCGGGCAATCCCGTCGATATCATCATAGCGAACAAAGATAATATTAAACCACCGTGCTGCCGCAGAACAAGGAATGCTTGCTCGCAATGGCTCTGGAATCGTTGAAATTCGACCGCTTGACCTTTCTTGGTTTGTCCCTTGTTTATTACATGAACAAAATCGTTGGTCAACACGAACGGGACGCGTTCGCGTCTGAATCCAAATTTCTCCTTAAAGTGTCCCAGTATATGGCCAAAGTCGACGTGAAACAGTTGGCCAGTTTTCTTCACCATTATATTGTCCGAGTGTCTATCCGCGATTCCGAGGACATACGTAGCCACGCAATAACCTGCGCAACTCAACGTGAATTCCTCGATAGCTTTGTTCAGTGCCGCCTCGGAGTGATTATGATCTTTCAGCCAAGCGAGCAAAGAACCTCGTCTGCACAAAACAATCGAGAAAGAGTGTAACGCAAAATACACGTTTTCGAACGTCGTTAAGGGAGGAAAATTTTCTTCCATCTATCGTTAAAATTGCTATTTGTTTCCTGATCGTACCTAAACGCGGCCGTCGCTGAGAACGTGCCCTTTTCTTTTTGAATATTCGCAATCGTTTCCGCGTTCAAAACCACCTCGATCATTCCGACCCTATTTTCCGTTGATATACAACCGTAAGGATTCATGCGTAGATCCAGGCCCTCTCGCTTCCATAGCTTATCCATGATTCGTAACATTTGAAGCGTGAGCATGTCTTGCCTCAGGTCGTCGCCATGTTTTAGTATCAAATAAATATCGTCACCGAACGGATCCACATTCTCGAAAACCAGCCACAACGGTCGCATTTTACTGTCCATCACTCTACATTTCTCGATTCTGCAAGACCACAATGTTTACGAAAGTTTATTCTTCGTAGCTTAGCGTTTTCCTTTTTTCTTTTATCGGTAATACGCGCGTTTAATTAACCTACTTGATGCGTTTCCATCGAAAACTCGGATCCAAGGGATTGAGAACGTTCGAAAGCGCTTCTTGGCAGTGTGGCTCTTGAATGAAGTCTTGAAAACTTTGCAAGGCTGCTTTGCGATGGTCCTTCTTCTGCTTTATTTGTTCGGAAGCGTGTTTCAATTTACCTAGGCACTCCATTTGTTTGAACAGCGATCGCATGTGTTGCTGACTTCCTCTACAATAGGCTTCCAGTATTAAACCAAATCGAACGGATACGGCTCCTACTTGCATCTCTGATCTAGAAAACAAAGATGGATAGATTGCGACAAATCTTAATAGTAAAAATAATAATAACACGAACGCTATTTGAATTCAATTAAATAACAGCAAGATACACTGCGCGAACCTAAGGTGCCAAAATAGAAAATGGCCGATTCTTCGATTGTTGAGAGCTCGTCGCAGCAGAAACTCTGTCAAATCGCAAGATAAGTAATTTTCGTGCTTCAATGCTTGTACCAACTGCAACAGGTACAGGCTTAGATCTTCGTCGCTGACGTCCATTAAGCAACGCACGGCAAAGCTTCGAACATTTTGGTCGGCGTAAGCGTAATCCAATAACTCGAGAGCCTTTTCAACCGGTAGCTTGGGCCATTGTTGCACCAACGCCGTGGCTTCAGCTACTTCTCTATGAATTGACGAATAGATTTAAAAAGTTTCTCTTTCTATTTAAGTTCCTGATGGGAGTCCCACTCTTATAAGAGTTTCCTTTCCATACATCGAGTATCGTTCAATTCTCACCTGTGATCATTCCATTCGACGCAGTGCAATAATTTTGCCAAAAGCGTGGGAATCTCGAGAAGGCAGTGATGCCTCAACGTCCACATTATCTTTCGTTCTTGCTCGTGGAGCTCATGCAACGGATCTCTATCCGCCAATAGTCGAAGCTGTTCGAGTTGCTGAAATTTGCCAACGTCCGAGTCTTGATCCGGTTCTTCTTGAATCGATCGTTCAGCCGAAGATTCGCGCAACTTTCTCGCGTATTCGACCATCTTCTCTGGCGTCGGATAAAGAACGGATTTGTCTTTTCCGTAACTAAATCAGACGAAGACGAAAAACCGTATAACTCAAAGAATTTGAAAGATAAGGGACGGATATTCGACGGAACTTACTTTGGAAATGTCAACATCAGAGCAGCCGCTCTATCTATGTGAGGATTCGATACCACCGTACCAAGAGGATGCAGAAGATCGTCGTTCTGCATATCTTCCGCGTACGTCCACGTGTAAAGAGTCGTCGCTCCCGTTTTTAATTGAGACTTGAAGTCGTATATAGTTGTGTTAGCCCAACATAATGGATTTATAAAAAATTCTTGTTTAGTGTCCTTAACCAATCTACGACTTTTAAGTCCTTTTGCAGTCTTACTAATCTCGTATAGAACAAAGCACAGCCTAGCCATTCGCGGTATATCTCGCACCTTTATGTCGAATTTCAGAGTTTCTTCCCATTCGCAACTACCCTCAGAGCTAACAACAGTTTCTTTGGTCTTCTGGCTTTCGCACAGACACTTTCCACCGTGGAAAAGACCAGCTTGGAGACCGATCTAAACAGAAGAAAGAAAATAATATAATTCAATTGATTTTTAGATTCTATAGCGTAATGTACGCAACTCTACCTCAACAGTTCGATGAGCGGCATCGCAGTTCAATTTCGATATTCCGTTAACTATAAAAACAAATGGTTCCTCTATTTTCCAAGCAGATATATGTTTACCCTTTTTACGCAGGGTCAGCGTGGAGAAGGAAGGTCTCGTACGTTGCAAAGCGTCCGCCTCTGCATTTTCCACGGTGTTTTCCTGATCGATAGGAACGCTACTTCTGCTTAACGTAACCAACGTAGGTACAACATCTTTCGCTAGACAGTCTTGAATGTAACTAAATTGTATTAAAGGATAATCCCCTATTAAATATTCTTCTTGGCCGCAAACCTTCAGAGTAAAGTCTTCAGAGTTTCCCTCGGACATTAGAGTGTTTGCCCGTTTGGTTAAAATATTTCCCAATAAATCGTGCGGCGTCGCCGTGTGCGATATTTGAAACGTGAAAGTTGTCTGAAATTACGAAAATTAAATTTCTATTACTACTATTTCTGTAAAAATATATACTATATCCATTTGCTTATTTGTTGCACGTGTATACATATCTATATTATATGTATAAGTAAGAGATCATTTATTTTTATTTTTATCTATAATTCAGTTAAATTAAACGATATATTTAAATTTAAACAATCCTATTATAGAAAATTTTATACTTTTCGAAACCATACTTTGTGAAATATTTACCGTGCATCGTGTTTACTATATATTCGACCATTTTTCCCGCCAATTTTTTCCCCGCCGTTTGCTTCGAGAGGGAAGGAATATAAAAAAAAGAAAAGTACGGGACAGAAGAGAAAAGAAAGTCACCTAACGTTCCGTTATCGTCAAAATACACAGGAGTAAAGCTGTATTTTAAACTTTAAAGCCAAGTCGAGTGTTGTGAAAGTATACAGTGAAACATAACCTTGCACGATGTCGACGCACAAGCTAACTAACCAGGAGAGCAACGAAGAATACAACGAAGAAGACACAGAAGAAATCAGTAGTCGTTATTATCGTCAGTTAAAAGTTGAACACGAGAAATGTCGACAAGAAATTTACGACTTGAAACGAAAACTCGAATTAAACGAAGCAATGCTACGAGAGGTTCAAGAAGTAAACGAATCGCTCGAACGTTCTCTCGATCAACAAAACTCGGCAAAGGAAAAGATTATTTTCGAACTGGAAGAAAAGTAAATTTCTTGTATAAATTTCGAAAAGATTGTTTAGGC